TCCTGCAAATAAAACCTTTGTGCTGGGCAACAGCTAATTATTTGACAGATTGGCCCCCTTCTGGCTCAAGTTACAGTGTGGAGTGGCCATGTTTTAGCACACCCCTCCCCTCCCACTGCCCCCCCTCCAACACACCACCAGCACTCACCCAATTTCCCCCTACCCTAGGCCAGAGAGGGGCCACTTTGAGAAAATCCCAGAGGGCCTCATTCTTTTCAGGAGATTATATATTTCACCCCCCACACACACACACCTCCTTCCCCCCTTCTCTTCCGAACTATCTATCCATCCGAAATCAGGAGAGCGTGTGACTGTGTGTGTGTGTGTGTGTGTGTGTGTGTGTGTGTGTGTGTGTGCGCGCAGCGACTGGAGTCATTTCACAGGGTGTCTTTAAGCAGAAATATTTAATCTTCCCACGAAAATAAAGTTCGGCGGAGAAAGGAGAGCTCCAAAAAAGAAAACACACCAAACAAGGTCAAATATGTGTTTTGTTGCTCTGTATTTACGGCGCTTTGAAGAGTTACTGCACCTATGAATCTAGCGTAGGTTTTGTAATTCCAAATTAGAGAGTGGGAAACATTAAGGGATTACAGTTTTGGGTGGGCATACGCGCTTGGCTTTGATTCAGTGCACTAATAACAAGAGTTTGTCATTAGTGCTCGGACATGGACCACCAAGATAAATGCCAACACATGTTTAAATTATCTGGAGAGTAATGGCATTTTCCTTCAGCCCTCTTTCCCTCCCTTGAAGATCCCCCCGTTGACTCGACGACGCTGACATTTTCAGTTATCAGCGCAGGTTTAATCTGTTGCTTATTTAGTACCCATGGGGATTGTATAATTCAAGACGCTAGGAGAAGTTACGCAACCAACACACACACACACACACACACACACAAAAACCAAAAACAAATGAGTTATTTCTATAGTTAGAAATTTATTTTTGTTTGGATTGAAGTTGGGTAGTTTTAACAACACTGGGTCAGAGGTTGGGACCTCAGACTAGAAGGAGTCTCATCATTTTTCGTAGGCGGCCATTTTGTAACATAATGACCTGATCAAACGTCATTGAATTTTTTATATAAGAATAAATAGAACATCATTTGACAGTAAAATAAGGCTGTGTAATAATGGGGGTTACCCAACGAGCAAGGAACCTGATTTTAATGTTTGAAGCTCTACGTAAGCCTAATTTAGACAAGAGTCAAAGAGATTCTCCATTTGTTGCTCTCATTTAGATGCTTTTATTTCTGAGATTAGACGAAGCCAGTCTGCCTGGCCTCTCTCACATATCTAAGCTCAGACTGAAAATTTTTAAAATTGTGACATCTGGCAATAACAAACTCTCCAGAAGTACCACAAGTCTAGACTGAAACTCAAACACAACGTCACCTGATTTAGCATTATGAACAAAATTAGCAAAACTTTCATTTGTGATGTTGATGTATCAATGTCTTTTTCTGTGGAGAAAATATTGGCATATGCGAGAAGATACTTACTTATTTAGGCTGTATTGATAGATGAAAAACATGAAAAACATTTTAACAAAAAAAAGAAGTATATTGAGATGAACAGCCAGGTCCTTCGTCAAGATCGTCATGAACTAAGTTCGGTTTGTTTCCATCATAAAAAATATTAGTCTTACAGAACCTCTGTGACCATCCGAATCAGACTAGGAACCAGGTTTAAATGTATTTTGTTTTTATTAAATATGTTACAGTTAAAAAATTGAATTATAGACGTAAATAGTCCTGGATTATGTGATGGTCTTTAAATGACCATCACATTGAATGTGCAGCTCTTTCCACTCAAAGGATCTTTATATCTGATGGGAGGAAGAGTCAAAACTACTGTTATGCTGAGCTAACTCATAACTATGTAAAGTAATAACCAGTTACACCCAGCTTTAAATTAAACTTAACATCTATTATAACTTGGATGCAACTATTCCAGGTACTACTTGTTGCTTTAACATTAGACTGGATCAAACTCATTTCACTGGATCAGGCCATCGATGATCAAAGACTTGATTTGATAACCAAATAACTCAAATTAGCTCATTGTAGCTTTAAATAATACAAAGGAAATGCATATGAGGAAATAGATTTTAACTAATGTAAACTCAGTGCAGGGAAATAGGTCTTAATCTTGTCAAAAAATATTACCAAGTCTATACTTTTCTATTTGTTTAAAACATTAAACTCAGATTTCAGCGGATGTATAAACTGCTCGTCACTTCCTGATTAGAACTCCTTCACATTGGTCACAATAAGCTAGATGTGAAACAAAAACCTGCCGATTTTCTTATAAACGGCACAATGCGTTTGCAAAAACCATGACACTTTTTGCGGCGGCCAGAAGAACTAAAACAGGGAAGCGTCGCCACTGTTTGAGGTCTCTCTACTGCCAGGCTTCTAAAAATATGTATTTCTGGAGGTAAATAAGGAAATGATTTCATAGAATGAAACCAGAAAAAAAAATGGAAGTTGGATTTGGGTTTATTTGAAAGGTTTGAGGACAGAGTTTCATGTAGAACATAAACTTTACAACAGACAGTTTCCCTAGAGAAAGTGAAATGTGATATGATGTTGAAAGAATGAGTGGATCCAGTCTGGGCAGCTGCTGGTGTGAGGTTTTTATTGTGTGATTTCATGATATTCCACGATTTACACTCAAAAAAAGATTAGCACGTGTAGCATTGTTAGCTTGTTTGACCTGTAAACTGTGTAGAGATCTTCCAAATGCTGCTGAAACTGTGACATGGATTATTACGGCACTAGCTTATATTGTACAACTTTTGTTTAGCTTAACCTTTTGCCATTTCATAGCACATTCTGTACCTTCACACTGCCATTTTGCTTTACACAAACCTTTTTGTACCCATGTCCAATTACATAGTACTTTATTTTCTGATAAGTGTTTTCATAAATTATGGAGTTAAATGATCGTAAAAAAAATAGAGCAATTCATTTCACAATTAATTTCATCCAATTGTATTTTATGGTCTAAAAATGTCATATTACACCCTGTTCTCACTTATGTTTGTTCTGATCCCCTCTTGGGGCGAAATTACTCAAATTAAACACCCCAGTCAGCTGACCTTTTTCACGATTTAGTAATCAGTTGAAGGTCTGTCACTCCGTTTGTAACAAAACTAAAATCAGTGTGACATGTCCAACAATAGACGGCACCATTTTGTGCCAGAAAAAGGCGGTAATAGGACCAAAGAGGCAAAACAACCAGTGCACCTTTAACAAAAATATCAACGCCTATAATGTAGTCAAGCATGCTACTTGTGCATACCATCATTCCTTGTCTTTCTGTCCTTTAAAGTAACCCTCTAGAGCAAGCCGCTGTTAGCTAGCTAATTATCTGGGCTAACTGCAAGCTAAAAAGTTGAAACATTTTCTCCCTCCGCACTCTCAGCTTCCGCCAATTGGTGTCATTACTTTCTTGCTGGGGATCCTGTTGTGGGCCCGGGATGCCTGTCTGCTGTGTTCGCCTGGCATGAACCCAAGCGAGAGGAGCCTGGAGTATTCATTGCTCAACCCGGGTGAAGGTCACAGAGTCCAGCCTTCTCGCTCTTCTTCTCCCCAGCGAGTAAACATATGGTCATGGAGCACCTTGAACATGTTTGGGTGACCAGAAACTACTTAGCCCGAGTGGCTGCAGCAAAGGGAAAGGGGTATTAAAGGAGTTTTTGAGGCCGGCCTGCTAAAGAGACAACGAGGAGACGAAGGGAAATGGGGAGCTAGCAAACCCCCCTCACCCCCCACCCCTCCAAAAGAAACCATTTGCTCGTTTAAACTCAAGTGAAGTCATTCTCTTTGAGAACGACGTGGTACTCCTCAGACTCCATCACTCGTCTCCCTTTCTTTTTGTCGTTCGGACCAATATAAGATCATAAGGTGCAATATCATTGCCCTGTTTTTTTTTGTGTGTGTGTGTGTGTGTGTGTGTGTGTGTGTGTTTGAAACAGCCAAAGCTCGTCTAATCGCTTCCACGTTTCCTCAGTGTTAAGCTCATTAGTGGGTGACCTAAAGGCATGTATGAAAAGACAGCACCCCCACCCCTCCTCCCAAAAAAACAACAAAAAAAACCCAACAAAAAACAAACAAAAAAAAACCTTGGATAATGGATGCTTGCTGTTTTGAGACTGTAAAAATAAACAGGTCTGCGGTTTATATAATGAATATCAGTCTAGAGTGCGAGTTTATCACAATCTCCCAGCTAATAACCCGCGCTGTGCTCTATACGCTCACACACTCGTATAAATACAGTGTGTGAGCAATGCCTCTGGTCAAGCCCGTGTGTCATGGCATGTGGGTGTGTGTGTATTTATCTCTGGGCTGGCTGAGGCCGAGGAAGCGGCAGGGGAGTGTTGAAGATGTTAAATCGCTATCAGACTTTGTGAATGAAGGGAGGGTGGGGTGTGTTAGTGGTGGCAGGGAGGAGGTGTGGGTGGCAGGGGGTGGGGGGTCAGCGTGTCTGTGGTGCCTGAACGTCCGGCCCAGGTGGCGACTGGAGGACCGACTTCATTAGGCCTGAAGAGGAAACAAAGGAAGATGCATCGTAAAAAAGTGCCATCCCTCATCTGCGAGGCCACCGCCTGACACATTAGGAATCTGTATGCTCAATTAACCACTGGCAGGCTCATTTTTCCTCCCTCCCTCTCTCCTTTTCTCTCCCTCTCTCTCTCTCCCTCCCTGCCCCTCGCTTCTGATCAAACAGAGCAAGCAAAAGCGATCACGCCGGACCGAAACGAGACTTTTATCCGCGGGCGCGTTTATGAAGCGTGCTCATATTTTAGCGCCGCACGGTTCGTCGTTCAAAACCCCGCGGCCGCATTTCGTGGGTGAAAGCGGAAATTGTCGTTTCCTGTGACCAAGCATATTTTATTTGCTGCTATAATAAAAAGAAAAAAAAAAACAGAAAGAAAAAAAAAATCAATTTTAATTTCCATATGAATTCTACAACGACCTCCGTCTTTTGTTACAGGGGGAAGATGGAAGTTGGACGTCCGTGGGGAGAAGAAATTGCATGAAAACAGCACGTCGTTGGTGGAGTCCTTTTTTTTTTATGGGAGGCGTGTTTTAAGGAGCTCTGTTTCGTCCTCATGTGGTAGGCAATCTACTTAGGACGGCTTTACTTTCTGTACTGCAAACACGACACACAAGTGTGACACAGGGAAAACTTTTCCTAGCAGGTTTACAAATGTATTAACCGCAAAGAAAGAAAGAAGCTTAAAATAAATATTTTCTCTGAAAAAAAGCTTTTTTTTTTTTTTTTTTTACACAATCAACAGTGAGACACACAAGTCTTTAAAAAAAAATATAGCTGAGTTAGAATCTTTAAATTTACATTGTTTTATGTTGATCAGAACATCACCAAACTTTCTAACGGTGATTTTTTTGACTTTGGCTGAAACAATGAAGGCCCATTTCTCTTTGCTTGCATTCAAGATGTGAGTGACAACGGAACATCTGCCCTTGAAGTAGGGCAGATGTGTTTGTCTGAATAAGTCAGCCAAACATTAGCCGTGTTCTGTCAGAGCTGTAATTAAAGGCTTCGAAACAACTGGAACTGCAATTAACATGGCAGAACGAGGACTCAAGTTTATCCTTGTTAAAGTAAGCAAGACAGTAACTGAAGAAAAGAAATATGAGCCTCGTGGTTTCACTTGTGACATGTGAAATGTTACGTTAAGAAAGTGGAAGCTTAAGAATTTGTATATTGATTTGTAAGCCTGTATTAGAAGTCAAGTGAAGTCTGTTTGTACAGAATTTCAGCAACATGCCAGTTTAAAGTTCAATGCACCATACAAACAATAGTATTGTTGTTTCTAAATGAATATTAACTTGTTTTCTTTGCATTATTTGAGGTCTGAAAGCACTGCATCATTTTTATTAGTTTGACTGTTTCTCCATCCATCCATCCACTTTCTGTACACCCTTGTCCCTTAGTGGGGTCAGGAGGGTTCCTGGTGCCTCTCCAGCCAACGTTCCAGGCGAGAGGCGGGGTTCACCCTGGACAGGTCGCCAGTCTGTTGCTTTTGACCATTTATCATTTTCTGCAAATACATACGCACCTTTTGCTTGGAATCTCAGAGACATGCTGTCAAAGCATATTCACTTTATCCACACATATACAACTAGAGAGTAAAATCAGAGAAACTGATCATTTTAAGTGGTGTCTTAATTTTAGCTCTACGTTTGCTTTCTTTTTAACTTACTTTACTTTTTAACAGCATTTACATATGAGCAGATGTCTTCAGCAGTTTTGCTACAGTCAAACCCGCCTCTTTGAATAATTTGTTCTGTTAAAGACGTTTGCATTTTTTTGTAACAAATCCGTGTTGTTGCACATGTGAGCATGTGTTCAGGAGGAAGTATCAAACATACATCCTGTTACACCTCAGTGAAACTGAATGGCAATTAAAGAGTCTTCATCTTCCCATGAACCTATTGTGTTAAAGGGAAAAAAAAGATGAATGGTACCTGGCTGAGGTCGCTCTTGGGTGTGTGTGTGTGTGTGTGTGCGTGTGTGTGTTTGTGGGGTCTGTCACCGGGATACGCATCAGCCTTTGATTATCGAGTTGAGATGAACAGTCTTTAAAATTCACAGAGGTCATGACTTAGGAGGCATCCATATGACACTTCACTGCACTTCACAAGACCAAGAGTATTTTTTCCCCTCATCTGACCCATTATACATCTCTCTCTCTCTCTCTCTCTCTCTCCCTCTCTCTCTCTTTCTCTCCCTCATGTTGCCTCTTTCTGCCTCTCTTTTAAAGGTCCGTCCCAGGGATGAAAAATGGCGCGCAGCTGGCTGAGTACTTCCTTCCCCTTGTTGGGGTCAGCAGTTCACCATGCTGATAGAGACCCTCACACCTTCTTTATTAGGAGCTCCTCTGCACTCAGACAAGTTGTTATTCTGCATCACTGGACAGCCGTCAGCACTGCCTTTGTCTAGGTTATCTCTGATTACATGACTTCATCTTTGCATGAAGATGAGACTAAGAAAACCTTGACAACACCTTTTCTTTTTTGAATTACTGTTAACCTTAGCTCCATCAGAAAGATTTTGTTTTTACTAGAAATCTGAACAAGAGCAGGGACGTCTAGATGTGTGCATTTAAGAAACAGAGCAATATTTGCTTTATGGATTTGTTTCTCCCCATCAAAGGAAACTTAGCATTCATTTTCTTACCCAGAAAGCTTTGAGTTGTAGATGGGAAATGGTGGCTAACTTTGACTTAATTTGCAACAGTTTCCAGCTAAATGATTGGAAAAACCCTTTTGAAACAGTTTCCAGCCAGTATCTAGACATCTGCTCCATGTGATTTGTGTAGGCAAAAAATAAACTGAGGTCATTGGTGTCCCACCTGGATTATACCTCTGAGCTGCCAAGTTAGCCAGTCGAGGTTTAAATCATTTAATTGAATTTAAGTCACAATACGTTTCCAATTTCAGTTCTGTGTTATGAATGTAATAAAAAAAAAATGTTTTTCATTCAATTGTCTTTTGAAATTGGCCAAACTCACATGTTCTAAGCCTTTTTTCTTTTTTTTTGGAAATTCTTTACTTATTTTTGACATGTTATAAAGACACCCGCAGACGTCCAACATCAGGTTTCAAGATGCCATTGCATGCCAAAGTTATATTTTCTTGGGACATTCCATACATTGTAAATATGTGCTAGACATCATTCACAGATAGATGAAATTGAGTGACATTAAACTCTTAATCTTTAGTGTTTTGCATGATATCAGACCATCTGCAGCTGTAACAACTTCAAAATCTTCTGTGAAGGCTTTCTATAATCTTTAGAAGTGTCTTTTTTTGTTTGTTTTGTTTTGAACAATTATCCACAAGAGCTTGGAGTCTCCACTAATTCATTCCAAATCATTATCTTCTTGGTTGAGGTCGAGACTGTCTGGTCCTTCCACACCAAACTGGCTCATCCGTGTCTTTGTGGATCTTTGTTTTTGTACTGGTGCGCCGCCTCTTCCTGTTCAAACATGACGGTGCACCAGTTCAGAAAGCAAGATCCGTGAAATGGTCAAAATACATTTGCCTTGCTGAAGCAATAAAAGTTGGTTTCACTGAAAAAGTTGTGCCTCAGGATCCACTAAGACTCACCAAGACTGTGACTTCATGGCTTAGTTGACAAATCCTTTCCACTTCCCTATGATACCACTGACAGCTGACTACGGAACGATTGGTAGGCAGGAAATTTCACAGCTGGACTGGCTGCTTAGGTGGCATTTCATCACAATACACCAGGCTGTATAAATAGTAGTAGGATTAGAATGGTGATAATAAAGGTGTCCAAAGTTTGTAGTTTCTTGTGGTGGACTGCAGTCCTCCCACCGTTCACCAGTAAATAAGGTAATAAGATTCATGAGAGCCAGAGTCTGAATATGTAAAATCAAAATCGCAACCTCAACTTGAATAATATTTTCCAGCAAGAACTGCATCACCCAACTTAGTTGCAAAACACGTTGGAAAAAGTAAGTGAAACTTTAGCTGTGGTGTGTTCATGCAGGTGCATTATGATTAGGAATACACAGTATTAGATTTTTGGTCGATATCCGGCATGTCGATATACTAACTCATTTGGCCGATAACCAATACCAAGTTTTTTCCTATAATCACTGAAACTATATGGCTTTCTCTAATGTGGAATTAAAATACTGCATTATCTTTGACAACTTAACCTGCTACCAAATGCTAAAAAAAAAAGAGGTTGAAATTGATGCAACACTTTCAACTTGTGTTATGTTTAATGTCAAATTTATTCATGATATTTGACGTCGTGCTGCAGGCATCATTGTCCCTGGTTTGTCATATAAAAACAACACATTTTATGTCGGTGAGTGATTTTGACAGAATGGCCGATGTCCGATATTAAACTGTTACAGCCGATATCAGCCGGTAATATTGTGCATTTATGACACACACGTCTACACAAAAATGGCCTCGACTTTAAACTCATTCAGACACATTTTAATCCAAAAGAAGTTTGGTGGCTTCGAAAATATTTAGAAGCTAAAAATACTTCTGTAATGAAGTACTTACCTTTTTGCTAAATTCTCTTAAGGTGGCAAGGAATGAGGAGGGAATCCCAGTTTACCAAGAATCGTTTTGGCTAATCGAATACATTTTCCTTTTCATCATTTTATCACTTCTTTGTATCTTTTCAACGTAATGAAAGTTAATTACAAACTTGCAGCCTTCAATTAATGTTCAAAATTCGACAGTCAATTTTTGAATCAGTTTTGAATCATTTGTCAACCTGACAAATTATTCAGAATTACATTTAACACACTCAATGTGGGTCCTGACTATGCGATGGTAGGTAATGTGTTGACAATAAAGACAGACTGCCTTGCTGGTTTTGGTCCGACACACTGTTAATCGACATTTCTAGGACGAGATTAATTAAAGCTTCTGCTTTATAAACCCGTTGCTGTCCCCTGTGTTGGCTGCGTCGAGCAGAATGAATGGACAACAGAGGGCCTAAGTGGTCAAATTTTAAGTGGACTCAAAAAAAAAAAAAAGGTGCTAATCATAATGCTGAGCTGGCCTTGTTGAACAACTAATTACCTCCATTATGAAGATGTAGAGGCCTGTTTGGAAGTGTGTAGATGTGTGTCTATGCGCAAGCCAGCCTGCTCCGATTAAGAGGGGGGGATTAGCCGTCCATCCTGAGGAAAAGAGGCAACTCGGGGGTACGGGGATAGAAGAAGAGGGAGGGAAGAGCGGGTGGTGACGGCGGGGGAGGAGGAGAGCGACCCCCCCCTCCTGGAGACGAGCCCTGACCTTCTCATTTCATCCTCATTAGTATCTCATGTCAACAGAGCAGCCACTCCTTAATCATCTGCTATCATCCCAGACCTGCACACACATGCATACACACACACACACACACACACACACACACACACACACACACACACACAAAGAAACAGACAAACAGAAAGTTGTCCTTACAGTTACTTTTAGACGCAGGAACTGAAAGGTCCCACATGGGATGTTATTCAGTCTGAAAACTGTAAGTGTTTTCAATCAAAGTCCTGCCTCTGTGAAGACTAACTTTTAATTTATTGTGTTTATATTTTATCTTGTTTATCATCGCGTTACACAGAAACATGTGCGTTACACTTGGGGACCAGGCAGCGGGGTCCAGCGGCATGGCACAGAGCGACCCTGTCTGTCTGCCTCGGCCCCGGTGCCACGGAGGGCCCCAGCAGGGTCGAGGGGGGGAGTGGGGGGCGAGAGCTCGGGGTGCCAGCACAAATGAGCTCCATTCATTTCCCCACTTCAGCATATGGTGGCCCATTGTCCTCGGCCACAGAGGCAGAAATGATGCAATTTGTTGGCATGTCCTGTCATTTTCACAAACTGTCCAACCCACAGAGGGCCCGGCCAGCAGAAGACAAGCAAGGGCAGCTTGTTGTTTTACACAATACACACACAAACATGTGTGTGTGCGCGTGTGCGTGTGTGTCTGGGTGTCCTGATTTCAATCCAAAGATAAAAGCAATAGCACAAAAACATGACAGACATATGTAGTGATTAGTAGAAATATTTCTAATTTTTCCTCTGAAAAAAACAAAACAAAACAAAAAAAAAATCAGTTTTAAGCTTCCACATGTGTGTCAATCCTTGTTGTGCTCCGTGTCCCAACAATAGCTTATCCTTATTTACCGAATAAACTCTAATCTGATCCAAGACACGATAGCCTTGATATTTGCTTCACAGTTAAGCAGATGAGCTTCGATAAAGCAGCTCGAGTGCAAAAACAAGCAAATATTCAGCGATGAAATTAAAAGTTAAAAGGTGAAATGGCAGCTCTATGAGTAAGAGTGAACCGGGCATGTTCCTGGTTTCACTATGCCAGGCTGCTGTCAGACAGCCTGGGGAAGGAGTCTCGTTCAACTTCCTCAAAAAAAGTGAACTTTTGACACGACGCACACAACACAGAGCGAGCAGCAGCAGTAAAACAGAAAGAAGCGTCTAGACGTGCCTACATTTAGCTCAGACGGAGGAAAACATATGATTGCACACTCATACACCAAAAATGATACCGGGTTATCGGATGGACAGGGTCAAATGTCGCTCATCCTGACATTTGTGAGTAAGTGTGTGTAAGAATGGTGCATCCCGGTGATGCCAGCCTGCTCTGGCTTTATGGGTTGAAGGATGTTTTTCTTATCGTTTGCTCCCGAGGGCCAGATTCATGACTTTTACTGGACCGGGCCGATTCCTTTTATTTTTATTCTTTTGATTTTAGGTAAACCAACAAACACACTGGGTGTTTACTCTTCTAGGCAATGAAATATGCAAAATGATAGCAGTGCAAACTCTTTTCCTTTTAAATCCCCATCAGTAAACTCAATATCCAGCAGCTTAAATGAAACCAAGAGCAGAAAAATAAATCAGTTAAAAGGGGACTTTCAGACTTTTGCCTTGAAGGGGCCGTGTTATGTATTTAGGATACATAGTTCCATTTCATAGCACAACTGAACATAGCACAAGCAATTGTGTTATGTGCCATTGTGAAAATTCTGCATTTAAATAACTTAAAATGATATTTTTATTTCCCATCTGATGCCTTGAAATTAGCTTCTGCCTCTTTAAGAAGCTTCTAACCTTTCAGGCGCTGCCTTCAGGACATCATCACACCAGTCCTTCATGATGTCATTTACGACCGTTCTGTGATAAGCTCTAAAGACTCACAGCTCCACCAGGTGTTTTCTTCTAGAGCTGCTGCCACTAGTTTGAAGGAGCCAAGTGAGGGAGGATTCCTCAAATATGCATGAGTAAGTCAAAGCTACACTTTGGGTATGCTTTTGATGAAGAAGTGACATTATAACAAGACTAAAGTCAAAAAAGTTGATTTTGCATTTTTGGATTATATTGTTAGCCTTAGCTGTGGATGTCTACTGCTCCTCTGATTTTATAAGATACCTTTTAGTTGCGTGTAGACTACCATGTTAAGTTGACATCCATGTGTTGGTTGATTTCCACCATACTCTTTGGCCAGTTGGTTAGAATGGGTTTTATTTCTGGGTATTAGAGTAAAGGAGATTGAATGGAAATGATTAGAATTATGCAGTACCTATTAAACATTCATGATAAATCACAAACAACAAACCTAAAGCGATAAATACTTTTTCGAGTTTTCCTGAACTCGAAACTTCCAAATACTTAAGATTTTAACCCAAGTGACATAATTCACTTTTGTTTATATGTCACATTTAATAGATGCCCATACTGTCAGATAATCCATCTTTGTCCCCACACAAACATTTAACCAGGCTAGCTGTGGCTCTTGTAATTCCCAAATCATACATCCCTGACCTCAATCCTGGCCACACTTCTCTCCAGTTTCCTCGTCCTCCTCCCCCCTCCGTTCTTTCAGCCAGTGGCAACCACGATCCCTCTTCATTCTTACCCTTAACCCCATTTGTACTCTCCACCCCCGCCTTGTCCTCCAAACCTGTCAGGGACCGGCTTCCCATGTCCATCACCGGGTGATGGATGAGGTGGAAGGTCATCACCCCACTCTCCAGAGTTTGACGATCCCATCAGCCGTCCAGACACCTCCAAATCATAGTGGAGCGTGTTATGGAAATTATACACTCTGGAAAAACAACCAGGAAAATGTTGCCTTTGCGTCGCCACTGGCCTTAGTAAATATAGGGAGTCGTCACTGGTGACAGAAAGAAAATATTTACAGAGAGAAATGTTTAAAATGGATCTGGCTATATACTTTGGCTGTATGCTGGTATGGGTTTGCTATGTTTGGCAAGTCATTCTGCATTGTTTTGACCACAAGAACAGGCCTCGATAAATAGATATGTTATATCTTCACACAACATATAATACTTAATACAATACCATGTGTTAGATTACCATTCATTTGTATTACCATTGTCTGTAGATATTAGTGATGTAGCAAGAGGAACAGTTGTCATGTTGGCTAGTTTTACATGCCATGTAAAAACTATCCGTATTTCTAGATCTTTTTGACATTACAAAATAGATACAGGTATGTACATATAAAAATTGTTGCATGAAAATTTCCACTTGTCTCTGTTGAAACTTTCTGAATTTTATCTTTTAGTTCAGTAAAAGCTGCAGTTCTGTCTCGATCAGGTTTACACGCCTAAAGACTAAAATTTCTGCCTATTTTTGTTTGTGGAATATCTCATAACTAATCAGTTTAATACAGAGCATCATTCAAGTCTTGCCACCAGCTCTTAAATGGATTTTGATCTAATCTTCAGTCGATTCAAGTCATGTCATTATGTGATTTGTAAGTATTTATCAAACCTTGTGGCCAATGAAAAGGTCCCAGAACAGGAAGGGGTGGGGGTTGAAGTCGACCCACCAATAACACACCTCTTAATGTGAGATAGTTGTAAACGTATAAACTGAAGCCATTATGAGCTATAAGGAGTAATGTGCAATTGCGGCATGAGTGTATGTAGTACAAAGCAATGACAGAAGTGAGAACTGAACAGATTTCATCGTCCTACAGCGTCTGTCAGACCTAAGAAACATGTTGAGAAGAATCTGATGTAAAAAATATTTTGACGATGTCACATGACAACTTTGCTTGTATTCAAAGCAATAAAAGCACTTAGACAGCACTTCTGCATGAGGATCATGACACAGAGTTTAGCACATGTCTTACACTGAATGCTGCAAGTTGTAGTCCAGATATCTTTGGGTTGAGCAAGCCCGTCTGTATGATTTGAAAGTACAAAGTGATCTGTAATCAGGTGTATGGCAATGTATGTTAATGGCAAAGTTGTTTTCTGAAATTGACTTTCAAACAATCCACTCCAACACAAATGTCCTTTGCTTTAATTTCATGGTTCTCAAACATTGGTACCACCATGATAGGGGCTAATCAGAAATTGTAAGTCTAGTAGAAATCTAGTATCAACTATTTCCAAGTCAGATTTTATGTCCATCAACCAAAATGATGAGTTATTTGTTTCATCAAAATGTTTGAGAACTCCCTGGTCAAACTGCAGTGGATGACAGGAAACAGGAACAAACACTGATGGTCACATATGCGGCTCTGCATTTACCTCTAAAGTCGGAACTTGGATTCAGAATGACATCGGTGGGTACCTTCAACCATGTGTGTGAAAGATTTGATCATAAAAGTATTCAGAAAAAAACTAATTGTTTTTTTAGTTGGCTCCAAATCAAAGTTTTAAATGTAAATAAAGGATTTTGTAGGCCTTGTGTTTCAAAAATTAAAAAAAAAAAAAATGTGTAAAATATCACTTTCCAAGAATACTTTCTAAAGAACTAGATGTATTCCATTCATATGTAAGTGACGAGACGGGCTCTTCATTTGGTGAGAAATGCAGACAAGTCTGTCCTCAGTTTTCCAGCAAAGGAGAATATGTCAGCCAAAGTAGGCAGGATTTTGTCCCACTCATATCAATCTGTCAAGACAAGATTGATATCTCAGAAACACGCAAGAAAAATAAACCATACACAACAGTGTCAAGCTTTGCCACTGGCAGGAGCATAGATCAATGTTATTTCCCGCTTTTGCAAAAATACCTAATTCCCCTTATTTAATCAAGCGTCTCCTCGCTCTGGACGCTCCGGCTGATTTATTGCGCCCGCTGTCTTTATGAGTACCTGCTTCATTTTCCTGTCTATGCTGTGACATCTAAAGTGATAGGAATTTTATGCTTTTGATAACAATATGAGTTTCCCTTTGGCCCGGAATTCACGGCCGTGTCAGCGGCTGATAAATAACAACCACAGCGAGGTGGAAACATTCACGGGCTTCCGAGACAAAACGTCCACCTGGTGGGATTTATCTAGAGATGGAAGCAGGGAAGACGGAGCTCCAAGTGGGAAGGGAGACGCGGCACAAGACGGGACGGGAAAAAACGCCACGATCACAGCTAAAGGTCATGCAGACAGAGTGTGATATGTTCTAAATTTGTCTCTTCAGGATTTGTAACTAGACTGAGATCATATCTCTAACACTGAACATAAATAAAATGATTTGTTACATTTGTGAACAAAAAAGAAAAAAAAATTCTAATAGCCATCTTTAAAAAATTCTACATTGCCCTTCTTTTTCAAAACATGTAGGTGAACTACATTGACCTTTAAAGGGTTCTTGGGATCTACGAAAACTGGAAAATATGACTCCTAATGCTAGCTTATGCTAAATACACACAGAGAATTAAACAGAGAAAAGGCAATGCGGGCTTCCACGTAAAGTAGAGCCGTCCAAACTTTACCAAAACCAAAATTAGCTTCTGTGGCATTGCTGAGATGGTTTCCACTGTGTGTATTAATGCATATTAAGGTATACCTCTGAAACTAGAGGCCAGTTAAAATGATCAGTTTCTCTGATTTTACTTTTTATAGGTATATGTTTGACTAAAATGAACATTGTTCCTTTATTCTATAAACTGCTGACAACATGTCTCTGAGGTTCCAAGCAAATATTTAGTATTTGCAGAAAATGAGAAATGGTCAAAATAACTAAAACGATGCGGTGCTTTCAGACATCAAATAATGCAAAGAAAACAAGTTCATATTTATTTAGAAATATTACTAATGTTTTAATCCAGGGAGAGTTTATAAATCTATATTTGGTGGAATAACCATGAGGATCCCAATGGATTTCCATTTGTGGGGACTTAACCCCTGTGAAACCAAGATCCATTGTAAACTATGAAAATATGTGTATATTTAAATGTCATCTGATCTGTAGATTTGGTTGACAACTGGATTTTTTTTACAGTTTATCAAATGAGCTGTCTAGTGCTCTTAGTCGTACAGTGCAGCAGTAATCGTACAGTGCCTCCGTCCTGAAACTTTTGGCTGCCTTCCTGCTCCCACACACCTGAATCAAATTATAACTTAATGATCAGGCCTTTGTAGAACTTAGTCACATGCCAGGGAAGTTATTCAGCCTTTTGATTCAGGTGTGTTGGAGCAGGTATGCACCCAGAAGGATGCTCTCAAGGATTGGCCCCTTTCTGAGTCTTAGTAGGGATGAATCCTATGGGCTGTAACAGCCAAATTTTTCAATTTCTGTGGATAAATCAAGACCGGGGAAACTTGAATAGCCACAAAACGATGTCCACAGACGCCATATCTTGAGGGTAGATGGTTTTAATCAGGCTCAATGCTCAGACAGTGAGTTCATAGTCATGCCACTTGCAGCTTAAAAACTGTCATTTTACAACAGCTTTACCTTTACAACAAATAAGTGATGTTTTCACATCATAACATGCCTTTTTGTTTGCTTGATTAAAAAAAAATAATGATGCAGCCTGTTTTAAGTTAATCCGACCCAATGAAGGAATAAAGTCAATCATTTTCATATGGAGTACATCCTAATCATTCAAAGGAGGTCAGTTTCTGCCATCCCAAAAAAGGCAACTGGAGCCTGAAATGCTCTGAAGGTATGCGACAAACCAAAACATTCAAAATGCCCATACTGACCATACTGTGTGGTTCGAACCGGCTTGTTCCACCTTCTTTGAAACATACTTCCCATTTATCACTTGCTGTAGCAAAGTGTGAGAAAGTGACGCTCCCAAGCTTCTCATAAGCATTATGAATAAATTACCTTGCAAGTCAAGATCGAAGGCTTGAGATTTATATCAACACTTTCCACATTCCCTTGACATATTGTCCGTTTCTCTGTTGTTGCCAAACACCTGCTGGTCACCAAGGCAATGGCATTAAACTGAGATAGCTCTTTGCGTGTGATGAAGTCTAACAAAGATGACGCACTGTACCCATGACTATGTCTCAGGAATACAGAGTAAAATGTCAAGCATTTCAAAAGAGAGTGGTCATAAAGCGTGGTTATGGAGACTATAACGAATCATTGCCCAGAGCCAAAGGTCTCTTTGTTCTTGGCCCCGTCTGCTCACTAACTAAGAGAATATTATTGGTCTTACTGAAAGAAAGAGGGGAGAGTGTGTTGTGTTGATTGTGCATCGCTACTTGAGTCCTGTGTGTGTTTGGCACAGGGGCCTCAAAAAGAGTGGCAACGAAAACAAAAGGCAGGGTTAGCACAAGTGCTTGGTGGTATAGGGGCTTGAACTGGCGCGGGCTCTTGGCATGGAGACAATGCATGTTGGGACGGCTGTGTCCAACGGGGACAGAAGCTGCTTGGAGCCGCATCAGCATCTCAGTGGGGCCACAGGAGGAAGAAGAGAGGGAAACATGATCAGAAGCAGAGGGGAAAATTGAGACAGATTTTCTTGCAGGTGTTGAGATAATGGACGAACAAATAATGTAATTGTTGGAGCATTTCAGAGAGAATCGAGTAGGAGGAGGCCCTCGCGTGCCTCGCGGAGGAGGTTTCGGAGATCATTGTGGAGAAAAAAAAACAAAAAAACATTTGAATCACAAAGAGAAATTGGACAATATATACAAACCAGAAAACCAAGACCACATATTGGAACAACTCAAGATTTTTTAGAATGTTGATGTGCTGTTTTTTTTTTTTTAAATATTTCATTTCTTTCTTAAATGCTGGTGGACAAACATTTAAGAGGAGAAAAATGAGAGGATACAGTTTGATCATTTTGAAATTACCCAACAGACAAAACAGATTTTCTTTCCTCTCAGGATTCAATTATCTTTCCATGTACGTTAGCAATACTTAACTATCCTTTAGGCTGAAAGCCTCGATAAGGTTTTATAAAGTGTTCAGACAGAATATCCAGGGAATTTCAGTTCATACCCTATTTGTTGGAATTCACTACTCTGGTATTAAGGATGTCCAAATCTATTTTTTATCCTGGATTCTGATAAAGTTGATCACAATTATCCTTTTGTAGATACAAAGTGTCAGCCCAAATCTTGACTGCAAAATAATGACGTTACAAGCATTATAAGGTCTACATGAAATTCACTCCAATGACAATCAGAAAGCTGCAGTAACAGATATTTGTGTTCCAACTGGAGATTCTGCAGAATAACCTTGATTTATTTAAGTTATGAAAGCTACTACAATTGAACCTCTGAATACACATTTAATCTGTTCAAACATTCAATTTGTTAAAATGTGTTTTTAAAAAGAAATTAAAATAATTTATTTGAACACCTCACTTACACACAGCCAAGCCACAAACAACATGCAAAATGGCAGATATTCAGTAACTTAAAAGTAAATAAATGATGGTGATAAATGAAAAACTTCTAGTCAAACTGGTCACTCAAAGCACCAATCACCAGTCAATAAATACTACCTTCAAGTCTTGTTCAAGATGAACCTCTCTGATAAGTAATGACTTATCAGAGAGTCATTTCAAAATCAGAATAATGACAGCCGTAGCAGTTGCTAGCTGTCAATAGGGGCAGCTGATAGACAGGACAACAACAGATATTGGGTCTTGAATTAAGTCTCTCTGTCTGTTGGCATAGTTAAAAAGAAATATGGAAACATACCAACTATTGATGCTTCTGGCACAAAAGTCGACTCAGGTTTTGACGATGTTTGAGTGGACTGGTGAGTTGAACGTGTTTTGCCGGCTTAGCTAGCCAGGCCAAACACCATTGTTGCACAGAAAAAGAAAGTTCTTGTTTGTCTGAATTATCAAGCAACAAAGTTTAGAACAATCTTGAGCTCGATATCTCAGGATGCATTTCATCCTGATCAATCAGCAAAAAGAACGACGATGTGCTGTTTTTGAACTGCTGTCTGCCGTAGGTGGTAGTTGGGAATGACAGCGGGGAAAGTGAACAATGTCTTCAGTCCGCGTTGGCCACAAATTTAAGTTTTGAGATACAGTCAGAGCAAGAGACAAGACATTTTAATGCTGGCAAAGATGTTGATGCCCTTCTCATTTGTGGAGGATTGTTGTTAAAAGCACTCTCAATTCCCAGTAAACTTCATAGCTTAGCTTACTTCACGATGATGCTGCTGCATTACATAGATCATGTAATGTAAACTTCAACAGCGATCGTTTCTCAATAGCCAATGGTACGAAGCAAAGTACGAAGCTTCTCTGTACGAAGCAAAGTGTAAAACAACGGGATGGTTTTTATCAGACTATGTCAAGTTAAGTTAATGTTCTGTAGATTCTGGCACAGTGCTCGCTAATAAACCTAATTTATACAACAATCATGGTACAATCTCCAGCATTTTTATCACACCTGCATTAATGAAATTCCTCTTTTTTAATCTTTTAATCACTTTTAACCTGTCTTAGGTGTTATCAGAGCTTATTATTAGCACCTTACAGTATTAGTTATGTTTTTTTTCCACCTCTTAAAGTTGCAGACCTTTAACTTTGAAGCACATTTACACTCGTTCTAATCAACCAGCTCCTCTTTAAATTATTCAGGAACATGGCTAGGTCCTATCCATATGGCGAGAAAGGAGAGAAGATATATTTGGAGCATCACACTTTTAAGAGCGTGAGCCTCAACTCCCCTGGGTCATTTTCTGCTTTGGTCTTAATTGAGAGTGTTCTTGAAAAATCATTACTATATTAATGATTTAACACAAAGTAACTACCTGCTTTTTTCCAGGAGGAAAGGGAGATTTGCCTCCAATCAATATCCATGCACGCTCATTATAAGGGAGGTAAAGTTATAGTAATTAGGCAGACACCAATAACTTTTTAATGATCTTTGTTTTTAATTGCATATTATCGGGTTGCACCGTGTGTGTGTTTATACCCAAATATAAGATAATGGCAAAAGGAGAAGTAGATTAAAGAGGAGCTTGCAAGTTTTTCTTTTTTTATTCGTTTCAGCAACAACATCAGCTCAGCTTGTCTGCAGAGGAAAGAGAGTATGAATGCAACCAATGCCTCTGCATCTTTCCTAACATGTGCATCAGTTTTCCAGTAATGTGCCTACACTCGCAGTCTGGGATTTTGAAATATTTGTAAAACAACACTTCCCTTCCTGCCGTCTATAAGAACAAGGAAGCGAAAGCGCAGCATGGAAAAAAAAAAAAAAGCACGAGGAACTTTTAGAGAAATGAAAACTTTAATATGCGAGTTGACTCAAAAGAGAGTCAACGCAATGACACCAAACGATGCCTTTCAGGTAAAGCGAAAATCGTCAACAGTAAACTTTCAATTTTAGGTCATAAAAAGACAGACTGGTGGTGGATAGAAGGGGTTTCATGTTGCCCGTATAAAAAGGGTAATAAAAATATTAATGAAAATGCAACCTCAGTGTAGCCATCTGCTAGCTCTTAAAGGGGAAGCGGCGTATTTAAACCAGCGGAGGGGAGTGTGTCTGACACAAAGTAGAAAGAGAGAGGGAGGCTGAACCAGCAATCCGGTACCGCTCTGCATCTGAGAGAGCCAACATCGACCCCCCTCCTCACCGCCTTCCTCACATGGCCCGTTCGCCGTGGCCCGCTCCCCCGGAACACGGCAGCAGATTGTCGATTCAATGACTCCCCTGTCAGGTGATTATCTAGGAGCTTTAATGTAATCTTCCACTCACACGTACCATATTTAAATTACGACCGCCGTCGTGAAACAAGCTGCAGATTCAGTTCGCCCGATCGCTCCGCCACCGCCTCAACAATGTCAACTGTAAAAGAGCGCCAGCTGAAGGCAATTACGCATGTTTTCAGAGCCAATTATGATCGCTCTCGTGGCGGCAGTTATGCCACAAGCAAGGGAGTGTTCGGAAATTTTTAATTTAATGACAATATGCTCATAGCAGGATACGGCGGGCTGCCCCCCGCTCCCAGGCCTGCAGTCTAGGAATCCGCAAAGGGGGACCATAAGGCAGGCAGGAGAAGATTATGGCTCCTCTCAAGGGCCACACTGGGAGCACTTGGTGGGCCTCAGCAGTGAAGGGTAGATGGCATCCACTCATCCTTTCTGAGTGAGCACAGCTGCCAGGGCTGACACAAGCTGGAAAAGAAAAGACAAGCTGGGGTTTGCTCAACATCCAGTTTGGCCAAAGACGGCAGAGGGAGCGCAATGTCACGCCTTCCTGTAGCAGCAGCAGACAGGGGGCAAAAAAAGACTCCTTATGAAATAATGTGGTTCTAGCTATAACATAATTAATTGATCTTGTCAGTAACAATTATTTCTACTGCTGCCAAATCATATGAAATGCTCAAAACCTGTATATTGTGTTCAATTATAGCAATTTTTAATACATCACGTACCTTCATTGGACAAAATAAAGATGAGCAAAACACCTGCTGAACTTAGTATAGTGTTGCACATTAGAGCAGTAGCAAGAAGGTTCTGAGATCAAATCCCCGGCATGTTTGTATTCTAGGCATTCCGGCTTACTCCTAAAGTCCAAAAACATGACTGATAATGTTGATTAATGTTCCCTCTAAATTGCTGTGAGGTACAAAAGTGTGAGTGTACGTGCATGGCTCTTTGTTCTGCATCTCTGTGTTGCCCTTTGATGGGTTGGGGGCATGTCCGGGATGTTCCCTGCCTCTTGTCCAATGGCCGTTGGAGATCGACAGCAACTCCCCTACAACCCTGAATGGATAAGCAGGTATAGACGATGAATATATGGATGGATGCGGTGAATTTAAGTTCCAGTATGAACTTTTTTCAGGCAGGAGGGAGCAGCAACAGGTGAAGAGGGGCAGTACAATGCAACACTTCTTGACTCAGAGCAATCCCCAGCGACTCACAGCGCTTTTTCTATCTTCTTGCTAAAAGGGTTTTAAACTGGTATGAATGGTATGATGTGGATTCTAACAAATGCTTAAAACCTTGGTATAAATAATACCATGAACCAAGCTGTGCCCACTAACCAGACACAAATTAAAGCAGTGGGTTTACCTCCTCTTTTTCCTTTAGTTGGAGGCCTTGCACATTATCCTGAATGCTTCTGAATAATGACGATACATTTGATTGGATTATTTTTACTTCAAAGCCTCATTAAAATTGGGTCCAGCGGGAAGAGGTCAAAGGAGGAATGCCACATATCCGTCTTCTAAGCAACTCTCTGCTGCTCATTTAACCCAAAGTGTTCCCAGGCCAGAGGAAGAATATATTCTCATCTCTCCAACAGGTTGATTACTATCATCTTACTAGATGTGCCTGGAAATCCTTCAAATGGAGGAGCACCAGGGAGGCTATATATTGTAAGATCATATCTTATTTCAATCATTTTAATATAAGTCAAAATAATTTATTGAAATAATCTTTGGCATATTGTTTTTCTAATTAGCCCATCGTCAAATTTACTACATAAGCTAGCATAACAAGCGTGAAACGGACAAGTTTCTGTCAAGAGGAAGACAGAATTAACCGTCCATCAAGCAGCCCTGCTGTGGAAGACATCTCTACAAAAAAACCCAAGAACTCATGTCCAACTAAAGTCAGAAAGTATGAGGCAGCTTTTCTGCTAAACAAATGGAATAATTATAGTGAAAAATAATAATAGTAAATAAAAGTGAGTAAAAAAAAGCATTCTAAAAGTAAGTTTTTTAATTTTGTGGCATTGTCATTGGGCATTTCAAGGGGTTCCAAGGCCAGATGTTATTGCTGTTTGGGGTGGAAAGTTTATAGAAATACCTTTTTTTTTTTTCTTTTTTTTTTTTTTCCATTCAGAATATAAAGTAGATTACAATGTGACAGAGGACGTCTTTAAATGTGTCACTTTGCCCTGTATAATGTGTGCAGGCAGCAAAAATTTGAAACTAATATCATGGACAAAAACCTCATAAACTTAACTGGCACCAATGTAAATAAATTCCCATGTCAGATTACTTTTTATCATTTAATACTAACATTTTTGGGTGTGTAAGTTTCTTTTCATGTTCAACAGTACTTGTGCCATTATCACGCAATTTTCGCTGGAAATGCAATGTTTGAGATTCCACAGAAAAACTTGTGGCAATTCACCATCAACAGAGATAAAGCAGGGTTTGTAATAACAGCAAACACACATGTATGTGCTACATATTTTTCAGCCACTGTTTAACAGTTTAAGAAAAAAAATCTGACAGAAATCAGGTTGGATCAGTTAGCTGCCACTAGGACGCTTTTATGAAACCCAAGCGTCAGTTCTCAGCGGTGGAGGTCGACAGAGGAAGACATTGCCTCCATTCCTAGGAGATTGGTGAATACAACACATATATTAATGTATTAAAGGTGTTGGCAGTGCTGGGTGCAGGAGCAGGAGAGAGGGGAAAAAGAAGCTGATGTAATGTATGATGTTGTCTTGTATAGCATGTCTGGCAGGGGGGGAGGAGGGGGAGGAGGCGACGCGTTCCGGCCAGATTATAAGGCCGGTGCTGAGAGATGAGGGATGGCCGGCTTGTAAACAAGTGACAAGCGTCCTGGATGACAATTCCTAATCCATCATAGTGCTGTCAGCGGTGACCGGCGGGGTGACGGACAGGACCCAGGAGAGGGGACAGCTGCTGCACGTCAATCCACATCATAATTTGAAAAGCTTTTTTCACATGAGTTAAAACAGAACGAGAGCAGAGGGGGAAGAGGGGAAGGGACTTCCTACCTGATGCCTTCTCCTTAGTCTGTCACTCCAATCTCCATTCCTTCCTCCTTCTCACTTTTCCACCTGTCTTTACTGTTGCCAGCCTTTAAGGCCTGGTTTTAAGTTGCATGCACCTGCTGAGAGAGAGAAAAAAATATGTCATTACTTGTATCTTCATCTGTTTCTGTTTGCTTTACTTCTGTGATCAAAACAGATTTAACTCAGGTTTAAGTCGAAGTTATACTGTATATTGCTGTGAAATTTGAATGAAAGTAGGAAATGTAAATCCAAAAGTTACTCAGCTTAGACAACTACAGTTTACATTATTATTCTTATTATTCTTCTTCTTATTATTATTATTATTCATACACTTAGCAGATTGCAGATTTAGGTGTAAAATAATGTGAATTTTACCAGTATGTTTCCATTTTACTGACTGGAAGTGATGGTATATTTTTGAAGTGGCCTAGTCAGAGTCCTGACAGAGGTCATCATCAATGATAAATTTCCACAAAACCAGTAAAAACACAAATATACAATAAGGGTTTCTTTGTTATGCAAAAATTTTTATACTATGATTCTTGGAAAAAGAAAAAATTCAGCTCTTTTTCAAAGAATTTTTTTTTTTCAAAAATAAAATTTATTTTTATTTTTAATCCTTTTACATTGCTGTTTTTGTGTGTGTGTGTGTGTGTGTGTGTGGGGTGGGGGGTGCCCATCTTATCTACTGTCAGAATCATTCTTTTGGTGCGGGAGGCATCGGAGGCCATCCAGGTTTCCATTCCTGACCCTGGAAACGTATCCATATGAAGGTATGCTGTACATTTGGATGTGCAGCACATCAACTCTGCCACAGATCATCAGTAGAGCATGTGTTTAATTAATTAACAGCCATGTTCAGACACTCTCCTATTAATAATCGCAAAAATAAACATCAAGCCAGAAAACATAACACTATAACAGACCAAATGTTCTGGTCTTTGTGTGAGAAATGTTTGTGTGTTTTTTTTTTTTTTTTTTTTTTTTTTGGTGTTAAATCCTGATACATTAGTGGAGCTGTTGTCAGTCAGCTGCTATGGTAACGGGTCTGTGTGTAGCGTAAAAAAAAAAAAAATATTACTTGTGGTTTTGAGTTATTCTTCAATGGCTTTTCTGTGTTATTCTTCTCTTTGCTGCAGCACACTGTACTAAATTAATAAAGCTATCTGCAGGTTTCATTTTGTTAATTGTTTTATAATAATAGTGTGGCTGTGGATGATAAAATTTAAAGTATAACATGCAACATGTCTATACAGTGTATGCCACAAAGTGAATATACAGAAAAATAAGTACTGTATGTATGCATGAAGAGTTAATACTGCTACCAGCAGGTGTAAATAATCCCTATGTAGAGAGTATTAATCTTAGGCAGCTGATTAAGTCCATTTCGTCACGTCAAGGCCACCATTCTTTCCCCAAAGACCCCACTTCCCTGCCAAACCGGGGTTTCCGATCTAGGGCAGGGGGAGGGGAGGGGGGCCCTCAATGACAACTTTGATGTGAGCTACAGCTCACACGGCAAAATGAGAGGCAAGAGCGCGGAGGGCTGCACAAATGCCCGACCTTCCCGCTGCATCTGCACAGATCCCACTCTAAATGGTCACATTGATGCTCCTGCTTAGCTATCGGCTGCGAGCCCTGATGGAGCCAACACCGGGAGGGGGGTCCGGGGGGTGGGGGGGCGACTAAAGGGGCACAGCAAAGCCTGGAATCCTGCCAAAAGACATTTGCAAATTAATGGAGATAAAGCCAGCTCCCATTGCATTTAACTCTGTTCTTTTTAGTAAGGTCTTCCCAAACTTTTTTGAATTTTCTTTTGTTTGTCATGATTTACATTCAACCTTTCCTATTCTTATTTGTTGACTATATTAATTTTCTATTTTTTTCTCGCTGTCTTTCTGATGTTAATTAATATTCAATTACATTCAGGAATGTTTCACCTAATCACAGAAAATGTTGGCCTTCAGCTTTATTGGCTGTGTTTGGAAAGACACTTGTGAATACATACAAAGTATGGGGTGTTAGAAGGGGTGGGATGTTTGCTTTGTGCCAGGGGCATTGTCTGTCAAAATGATGGTGAAATTAAAAATCCCTTCAAACTATGCTTTCTTTTATTAGGGCACCCTAATAAAAAAAAGGGGAAAAAAAACAAACACTTGAGGATATGCGATTTACCTTCACTGCCAAACTTTTCTCCTGTCAGGTGCAGCACAAGGACGTGGCAATGATCCAAAATATGTTAAGTGTGTCTTTCTTTTTCTTTTTTCTTTCTTTTTTTTTATTTCCCAACAATTTTGCAAAATGAAATTAAAAGAAAAAAAGGGTGAAGTTTTGTTCCTCGTTACAAGTGAGTTTAATCTGCCACCTTCTGGTTACACGTTCTCTTTTCATATCCGTCGCCTTTCCTAAGGGGAAGGGGCCACCGCTTCCCTCCAGGAACAGATGGCGGACCAGCCGTACGCTTGAGGTCACCACCGCTAAGACAAGCACGCGTAGAATCAGGGGAGCAAAAAGGCAGAATGGTCAGTGTCGATTTAAGGAAGAGGGGTAATAGCAGGGAGGACGGTTGGAGGGGCGGGGGTGGGGGGCCGCGGGGCGGACG